TCAAGCTATACGCGCACACTCACAGAACATAAGCGCACACTCTAATAGCGGGAGTAAAAATTTTTTAGTCGTGTGCTTAACATTCAAATTTCGTACTGCCAACATGAAAAACACAAAAATATGACAGTTTTAAACCATAATTTTGCAATTATAACAACAAATAAACAATTTATGTTTTTACTTTTTTACTTTTTATGTTGTTTTAAGTGTTTAATGGTACTTTTATTTGTTATAAAGTAGTAATTTGTTAATTAAAATACAACGTTTTATTTTTACTGTATTGGCACCGCTGAATTCACGGCCTACTGTTATTTATTTATCAAGCTCTTCAAATGGAGATAGGTACATAAATACACATTTAATTTTTTCCCGTATTTTCGGCCGGGTTTTATTTTCGGCCGAGGTAGTAAGAAAAATAGTATACACTACACGGGCAGAAAGTGTGAGAGCCCTGAACTGCGCGCCATGATGCCCTCGGCTTTGCCTCGGGCATCATGGCGCGCAGTGCAGGAATCTCACACTTTCTGCCCTTGTAGTGTAATATACTATTACGTGTCCGAGCGTTTAGCTGTGATATTTCAAGAGTTGGAAATTTACCTACAGTCCCAAGTAACAATTTAGGTTTTATTAGGTAATACAGGAAAGCTTTAAAACCCTTTTTTCTGGATATTGATAAAACTTAAGTATCCGCAAGATAGTCATAGGACTGCTTTAAGTCTCTTTTAAGCATAAAAGGGAGAATCCTAGGAGTAAATTTTAAGAATAAGTTAAAACAATTTGGCTTTAAGCCAAACAGTCCGGTGAGTATTTTTAAACCATCCATAAAACTAAATAACATAACCCTTAATATTTTTAAATAAGACAGTCATAGGACTGCTTTAAGTCTCTTTTAACCCTTAATATTTTTAAATAAGACCGAAATGTCCTCACAAAGTCAACAATAAGACTCATTGATTTAATATAGTTTTAAAGGAGTAAATTTTGATTGTCATTTATTTTAATATTGTTTTAACAAAGTTTTAATAATATTTACATTGGTAGTGGGTCTACCGAATTAAAAATGGATCCCACTAACTGTAAAAATGCAAACGCCATGTTTTCCGATACGTAATGAGTTATTGATAAATATATTTGGCTTTAGTGCAGGGTTTTACGCTTATAATTTCCCAACGAACACCGGTTTTTTGTTAAAGGTAACTGAGATAGCTCTTAATTTTTAACAGGCCACATAAAAACTTAAGTGAAATGAAAATAAGGAAAATTAACCTAAAATATAATATACCTAAATATACAAAAAATGTGTTTTTACTTGCATAGCCAATAACATAATAGAAATAAGATAATGTTTATTACGTTTTAAGCTGTTATTAATGGAAATAAAGAGATATTTTTATGAGTTTATAAGGAAAATGCCATTGTGGTTAAGATACCGTACCTAAGGACATAGATAATATTGCGGATCATAATGCTATAGGTATGGAGTCATAAAAAAAACAAAAAACATTTTGAAAGTGCGAATATTGTAATTTTGTTAAACTTCTTGTGAATAAATACGTAAAACTTTAATATTTATTTATTAATATTCGGCTTCATGAACGTTGGTATCTTATACACTTCCACATTTAAAATGGTTCCCGTCGTGAAAAATTCTTTGCCAGTGCAGTGTTGCCGCTTGTGGGTATTTTACCAGAAAATCGGGAAATTTCGTCATACTTGTATTGCCAAAAAGTTAATCTGATTATTAAAAATTTTAATGATTACGTTAATTACGATTAAAATATTTTGATTGGTGCATCATGCAATTGAAGTCCGTAATTCAAAAAGGTGTTACTCAATATTTTTTATTGTGAGTTTTTAAATTGTAATTTTTTTTTAAATAGGGCGAATGTGCCAAAATTTTTTAAAAGAAAACTATTTTTTTAGTCTTGTGGGTAAAATCGGGTAATTTGTAATTTTTGGTCGAAAACTACTGAACATCATCTGGCAACACTGGTTAGTAAATAAAACCGGATAAAACGAAGTTGCATTTCTTATAACTTTTTTGTCGTATGGTACTCCTCTTTACGCCAAAAAATACTTCTTTAAGGCAGATTTATCCTAATAATATCCGCTTTAAAACACTTTGGTATAGATTTAATGTTTTATAAAACCTATTAAACGTTTTTGGTATAAAATGGCGATATTTAGGATAACATTGAAATTTTTAATGCCTAATAGCAATAAAAACAGATGTTTTAAAACAATTTGGCTTTAATATTTTCTTCCATAAAACTTACAAAATGGGCAACCAGCATTGCATGATGTAATGGGGATTTTATTTTGTGTCGGCCGGTTTTGTTTTTGCAAAAATGCCGTTCAAAATTGTTCAAACAATTGATGTGACTTTATGGCGTTTTAGTCACAGGATAAAGTTGGCAATAGTGACTTTTGGGCATTTTAGGCACGGGCTGAAGTTAGCTTTATTATAAATTACGGAAAAAATTGGCTTTAAATTCTTCTTTGTGTTCGTCGTTGATAAAGTAGTATACAACTCGTTTTATAAACTTCTCTAGACCCTCGTTTTTATCTAACACTCGCTCGCAAGCTTCGCTCGTGCCTAATAAAACTTGATACATAATATACTATTAAATGTGATTACAATTACCACTGTTTTAATTTTTGTCTAACAACATCGACATCATGCACATTGCACAAGATGCCAATCAACAACACAACAAAAAAATAAGGTTACCTTGCTAAAAAAGTTATAGGTACCTATTTATATAAATACCCTTAAAATTGTTATAAGTTTAGTAACTTTACAGACCAACAGTTTTAAAGGGCCCAAAAATTTGTCTAAAAGGTTCTCAGTGTAAAACGGTTTAAAGTGTAATCCTAAAACACTTCATAAAACTTAATTTAAAAACAATCATAGGATATAAGCCTTTTTTATGGCTGCTTTAAAACCATGTACTCCTTAAGAGCACTATAGAACCAAAGAGTTTTAAAATAGCATATAAATTAATGCACATAAAACCGTATTAAAACAAACTCAATTTTAAAACAAAACAGTTTTATCATATAGTTTTAAAATATTCTATAAAACATTTCTTTAAGAGTATTTTATCCTGCATTCTCATTAGAAAAATATTTTGCCTTAATAAAACAGCGTCTCTTTTTTGTGCAACAATAAAACCATATTAAAACCATTATTAAAACTACCTTTCTTAAAAAATGTTACTTGGGGTGTAATTAAGCAAAGGCAATGCAAGACAAAATCTAAAAAGACCAACATCTTGCAATACAAGTTGGTTTACCTCTACCTTTCTCACATAGTCAGCGATAACATTTTTAAGAGGAAAATTAGATGATACAAAATGTCTACTAAATTGATGTTTTAACTCAAAACAACACAAATTTAAATTGCAGGGTCCAGTGCAAGAACAAGGTATCTCCTAAACAATGAAATTTTACAGGAGGAAAATGCTCCTATAAATTAACCTATAGGTTAATTTATAGGAGCATTTTCCTCCTGTAAAATTTCATAATGGTTTGAACAAAATTTTTCTCGGCTAGGAGTAAAAATAAAATAACCGTGATATTTCATTATTTGGAGATACTCGATTCTTGCATTAGATTTCAATTACCTTTTTTGTCATCGTTTTGACAGCTGAGATAACATGCGTTATTACTCATAGACATATTAAAAGAGTGGACGCGTAATGTCTATCGTGGTATCGTTGTTTTCTCAATCGACGGTTGTGTATTGTAATAAAGCGTGCCAAAAGTGATACAAAATGTCATTGTCAAAACCTGGAAGCCACGTCAATTTGACAAGTTTGTTTTCTGTGTTTTTACTTTTTGGTTGTAAAAAAGTTATACGCCAAAGAAGTATCGGGTTTCGCAACGCGCGCGCCATCTGGTGGACTTCTATAGCATTGCGTGACTTTAAGAATTTGTCAACAATACATTTAAAGCACAGATTATACATCGATTTTAAATAAATAGGTAGTTTTTTCACAAAAGAGAGGAAGGCAGAAGTCTTACTCGACAAATTTCATTCAGTTGCACAGCTAAATCGCGCACGTTATTTGTGTTTTACGTTGCAAGGAAAAAATTAAAAAACTTTTTTAGTACTCGATTTCGATTGATTATTCCTTATATTATTGATTCATTGAAAGAGCGTGAATAACCTTTGTTTAATTAATATTACTACATATATGTACCCCAGAGCCAATCTGTATAAAGTCCACTTTTTTAAATCATAATCACAATTTTATTTTTGAAAATCATTTAATGATATATGATTGAAGTATTAAAATATAGTATTGGCAATACTATACTGTATTCAGATGATTTGCGTCTCTCGTCTGGCGACTCGAGACGCAAACCTCATCATCCTATAATTAAATACCATTAAAAATCAGTTTTCTCTGTGAGAAGCAAAGCCTCAGAAAATTATTCTCACGCATTTGTTTAAAGCTTCTCATAATCAAAGTCGGTATACAATGGTTCAAAGAATATACCAATGTGAATTGAATAAAATAGTTAGTAATTGCTCTCTGTTTATTATCGACTGAAAAATAATTCACCTAACAAAGACAAACGCAACGTACATAAATTAATTTATAATTGGATGCCACGAGACTTAAAAACAATAAATTATCTGATATAGAAGGAATTCAATCTTATTGAAATTAAACAATTAAACTTTTCTTAGATAAGACAGATTAATAAGTAGGTTATTGAAAATGTTTTTCATACAAGTTGCAAAATCTAAAAATAGAATACAAAAGATTTATGACCGAAAGTTTGGATTACTAATATTGATGGTAATATGATTATTGGATTGGATAAGCCTAAATAAATATTTCCGCAATATACAATAATGTAATAATAAACACATACAATTAATGATAACCACAGGGTAAGTCTGGTGAACATAATACTAAAAACTAATTAAGGTTGTTGCACATGACGAGAACTTTGTCGACTTTTAAAAATATATCAAATTATTTTACCTTAATTTACTGGCATATTCACATTCTATAATTGCTCTATCCTTAACGAAGTTGCCATATTTTTCTAAAAAATCTATTCCTTTCATTGTGTGAAGTGACAAGTTGTCGTATTGGTCCTGAAAAAAAATATATATATAAATTTAGAGGTTGTTACTCCCTTAAAATAAATTAGTCAAAAATAACTAATTATAAGTCATATTTGACTAATTGTCATAGCGAAAAAGCAGTCACTAATAATTAGTCAAATTCTACTGAATTAAATAGTCACATTAGTAGATTAGTAGATTTAAATTTAAAAAAGTTTTGACCCAGCCGGGGATTGTCACTTGTCAAGCTTGTCAAACTGTTGTCATAACCCATTCGGCTATCAGCCGCTCTTATAAAAATCAATTTTATTTGTCAATAAATATTGTTCATAATATTTTAAAGTTGAATATATTATTTTTGTTGCTGTTTTGAGCTAAACTTTTTGCATCTTTATTTGTTTTTATTGGTCATTTAACCATGGAGCTTAGGTATATGCATTTAATTCAAATAATACTTTGTTGTTGGCCGCAAACGATTAAAGAAATTAGTTACTTTTAACGCTCAGAAATAGTCAAAGATGGTGACTAATCTTAAATTAGTCAAACTTTAACTATTTACGTAGTTAAAAATAACTATTTAAAAGTGAAAACTACTATTTTATTAGTAAAAAATGCTGATACCAATTCAAATAGTAGAATTTTTAGAGAGTAAACTAGCACAAAATACAAAGATAGTACAGTATTTTATTTCTTGGTATTTATAAATGCAGGTTTGAAAAAGGTCAGACTTTTTGAATTTATTCAGATTTTTTAGAATTGATTCACATTTTCCAATTTATATACAAATTACTTAAAAAATTGAAAAAATTTAATTCAATGATTTTGTCATTTAATATACGTAGGTACGTAATTATTTTACTTTTTGACCATAAAATTTTAATTTATTTGTTCTTCTTAAGTTTATTTTACTAAAATTTTCTGAAAATTGCATTAAATTCAAAGGAAAACCTTTTATTAAAAATCCAAAAATTATAAATTAAAGGAGCGAGGCAATTAAATCAGAAGTAAAAGTTTGAACCAACATTTGGTTTAATTTATGAATTAGGTATAATGAATTAATTTCTATTAAAAGACGTTTCGGTACAATGTACTATTTTCAGGTCTTATCTGCTGGGCTGCTGTTGCTGCTCTGCTGCGAGTTGGACATACGGTTCTTTAAAGAAGCAAACCAAAAATTTAAAAAAAAAAATACATAATATATTATATATATTATATTATGTACGCATTCAAAGCAGCATATTATTATAACAATATTAAACTATTTTTACTGCATACGTATTTCAATTCCACTTGCCGGGGTTTGAATTTAATTAAATGTAAATTTAATAAAATTAAAAAACATATTGCATAAATATCCGTATATTAATTTTAGTAGTCCAATACCAAACCCAGCTAACTTCAATCAAGTAACAATTTTAAAAATTAAAAATACGATATTAAAGTATTCCTTTAAAAAAGATCTACCTACAGTAATATGGACAATAATACGATATTTTGTTAAATGTGATAAAATTTCGATACCTTAGAATCACAAGGTTTTAAGTGTAGTTGACATGTTAAGCGAAAATGCCTTATCTGCAATACTTCATTCATATTGTAGATAAGTAATCTTCGCCTAACATGGCAACTGCACTTAGAACCTTGTTATTCAAAGGTACCAAATTGCTTAGAAAAAATATTGGAGAAAAACTCCTATCTGGAATTTGAAAGAACAATCATCTTAATCGTCTTAACTTTTAATGTATAAAAGTCCCCCGTATCTAAAGATTACAAATTTATAAAAAATAACTTAGGTAACCGATAAATAAAAATAATAACGTTATTGTTTAGAAACATAAAAGTATCCCATAAAGATTAAGCAATAATGTGTAATGACCGCTGCTAGCGATTCGTTATCCGTTTCCTGCAACAAAAGCCCCAACGTACGTGTTTATTAAATCTGAAACCAATGCAAACAAAATATGGGTAATATCGTATGTAGGTATAGTTTATGGGTTTAGAAAAAGAAAGAACACCATATCCGTTCTAACAGGATACAATGTTATGGTAGAACTGTTTTTTCCCGAACAAGTGCAGTTCGACAAAAAGGGCGAATTAGGTGAAAACAGTTTATTTGACAAAGAAACAAGCAAAATATACAGGGTCATCCAAGAAACAATGCAATATCCTTTAAAAAACAAATAACAAATTTTTAAGTTTTTTTTTTCTTTAAAACACCGAATTTCAATTTTTTTTATTATAACCTATAGGTTTGATAAATAGTTACTTATTATTTTTTATATGTTTAAGGATACATAAAACAATTCTAATATTATTTTTTAAAAGTAGTGAGGTTAGGTATACCTATCCTTTTTTAAAGCCTAGGATGTAAAAAACTTGATTGGTCTAAAATTATTTTTACACCCTAGGCGATAACACAGGCCAACAAGAAAACATTTTCTTTGGTGCCTATAGGATTTGAAACTGATTTTAGTTAATTTTGAGTCGCTCCAAATATGAAATCAGTTTTTCTCTATTAGCTCTAATTTTTTAGATCTGTATTTTTTTACGTGCAGTTGTCGCCATGCAGAGTAAGAAATTAATCTCTTTTAATAATATTTATTTTGGACAAGTTGTAGTTATTAAATTACTAGAAGGAAAAAACATAAGGCATTGAATTTTATGAAGCGTAAAATAAATTCAAGTAGAAGTTGTTTATTCATCCTGATGTGTTTTGCTATTATTCATCCTGATGTGTTTTGCTACATATGCTACGTAAAAAGAAAACATGTTAGTGAAAAAAGCTTATCTAAAAACCGTTACCGTTTTTTTCGCTCCAACGAAAAAATTCCCTAGATCCTGGATCCTGATAGAAAATCAGTTAAAATCCCAGCTCTTAACTTTAGTTTAAGGGGTTTCTCAGTTAAAATATTTCCCATAGAAATAATATGGAAAATAATTTTTTTCATCTTTTTCTCCTGCAACCTACATATATGCAGTGGCGGACTAAGACCGACGGGGGCCCGGGGCAACAAAATAAAATGGGGCCTCCGAGTCTGCATAGACTTAGTTATTCTCTAAGAAGAAATTTTTATAATTAAAAAAAAGTTGTTCATTACCATATTCAATTTGTTAGTATACTAACAAAGGATCTATAAATCTATAGATCCTTTGCAACCGCCCCCCCAAAATAAAATAAAATTAGAGATATGAAAATTTAGATTAGTATTTTTTTTTAATCATGGGGCCCATGAGTGCACTCATAGCAGTTATAGATTAAAAATTACACAGGCAAAAGTAAAAAACCCGTATTTTTTTAAAATAAATTTTAAGGTTATTTTACTTAAAACGGTCCTGAAGTCCCCTTACATCCGAGCACCCCAGCTCCACTAGCACTAGTTACAGGTCTTGCCTGGGTGTAGGTATCATTAAACTTTGGCTATAGTTATATGTCATTGCCACCTCCTAATAATATGCCCTAATATTATGTACCTATGTAATTATTTTGCTTGCGTTTGAAGGCCCAAAATTCCAAATGCCCCTTCCTGAACCACAAAATTTGAGCGTTAGTTTTAATGGACGGTGGAAGACTTTTCGGTATTTGGGGGCCCCCTACACCGGGGGCCCGGGGCGGACCGCACCCTCCGCCCCCTCCCTTAGTCCGCACTGCATATATGTAACTATGTTTTTATTATTATTAACACGTTTTCTTGTATGTCTGTCTGCCTGTGTGTTCAGTACAAATTTTGCAAACGATTTTAAACTAACTTTACGATGAGCTGGAGACTTAAAACTTTACAAAACATTTCATACCTCAGAACTGGATGACAATGTACGTAAGGTGAGTGAGGGCGCATTAAGAGCATAAAATTATTATAAATTTTTTAGTTCGTTAAAACGTGTAATTATGTTTTTTTAAACTACTAATTTATTTTCGTATAACTGACTGATGATTCCTATGAGAAATGAATTATTCTTGTACGTTACTATTGAAAACCTTTCGCTTTCCAATGTTACTTAATTCGCATTCCTTATAAGAACCTAGAAATAAATAAAAACAATTACCACAATTTCCATGTTTTATTCATAATCCTTCTGGTAAAAATATATTATTGCAGTGCGTTGAGCGCGCTATACTTATAAGTAATGGGCAATGGGAATTAGGAATTTTAAAGATAATAGTAACATAATAATGTTTATTAATTATTATGCAAACCAATATGATATTAAAATGGCTTTAGGGTTTTGGTTGGTAAATACAGTTGTTAAGTTGGTCGCATTGATTAAAACAAACTAAGCTAGTTATAAATCTAATTGTGGTTATGTATAAATTATTGTAGGTTACATTGTGCAGTTTTCAAGTTGAGTTGTCGAAATTCGTAGTTAAAAATGCAATTAATTTGGCTTTGGTGGTGCTTGGATGAGTAAAATCATATAAAAAAGTAGTTAAATATAGGTTGCTTTACGGCCCAAAAGAGAAAGTATTCCTAGCGGATAATAAACTTCGCTTTGAAAAGAATTTATATAAGAGAAATTAAAATTTTTTGTGAACGTAAATGTTGTCCAATGGTGAATATTGTGAAAATAATGTGTGATGTAATATTTATAAAACCAAATTCGTTACTTTTTTACTCCAAAAATGTCCATAAGGCGATGTACTTTTTCTTCCATATAATTAACAAGTAAATTATCATTAATAAATATTATTGTCAATTTGACAGAGTCAAAGTATTTAATTAAATTCTTTAGCAGAAGTACCAATTTTTAAATAGTCCAGATAAAAAAAAATAACTGTACCTATTACTGATAATTATTATTTATTACGTGATCACATGTTATCCAATACAGTAGGATTTACAACGACATCATAAATTTTTCAATTATTTAATCTTATTTTTCTAAATAATCGGTTTTATTTTGCAACTTTTAAATTTATGGTCGTCATAATCAAAACCCAAATTTATCGACTATATAGATATCTTTTAATAAATTATAAGTAGGTATTTCACGTAATGATATATCTTACATTTTATAAAATACTTCGCAAAACT